AGGGAAGGGGGGGGGGGAAAGACGAACCACGAGCGAGTGAAGCAGGGGGGGAGCTGTGCGGAGGGGAGCTGGGGGGTTTTGCCGGGTGCCGGCTGGGTGTGTATGTGTGTGTCGGGGGAGGGGAAGAGGGCCAGTGGGTTGTTGGAATGGGGAAATGACAGGTGGAGGGGCTTCTGGGTTATAAGAGCTTAGTGTTTGCCTGTCTGTCTATCTTCTTCCCCGTCTGTTTTTGTGTACGTCTTTCTGTTGTGTCCGTCAATCGCCACACATACACCCGCAGGCAAGAAGGCCATGAAGATTGCTGCTGACATGTGCATCTACACCAATGATAACTTCACGGTGGAGTCCATCTCCGTGGAGCTGCCGGGGGCACCGGGGGCGGGGGGAGGGGCAGCAGCCGGGGCAGCAGCAGCAGCAGCAGCGGGGGGAGGGGGGACAAGCTATCCGTGAGCGCCGGTTGTTGATGTTGCATCATTGTTGTCCACCGCCCGCCACACTGCCGCCATCGATTTTAAAATTACTGGAGCCGGGGGAAGGGAGCGCGCGTGTGTGTGTGTGTGTGTGTTTGGGGGATGTAGGGGATGAAAACAAGATGGATGCGGGAGGGTGGGAGGGTATTGGGTGTTTTTCCAGACGTAGCACAGCAGCTGGGTATTTACTCCATATACCCAGCTGTGGTATGTATGTATGTATGTATGTATGTATGTATGTATGTATGTATGTATGTGTGTGTGTGTGTATGCGGGGGGGGTCAAAGGGGAGGAGATGACCCTCGGTATCGCGGGGGCCCTGTTGGTCTCCTGCCCAACAATTGGTAGGGATGTACCCGGACGAAACAGGCGGGGGGCCCCGAGTTTTCGTAGGTTTGAGCAGCGCGCCAGCCGCCGCCGCGGCCGCGGCCACAGCAAGCCGCAGCATGGTTGGGGATTCTAACGACACAAACAAGGTACTACTAAACTAGAGAGTATTGCTGTCTGTGTTGATGTGGATTGTCCACTCGGGTTCCAAGGACAGCGGTTTCGGTTGCGAGTGAGTGAGTGAGAGCGGGCGTCGCCAGGACGTCGTCAGGAGGAGACCTCTGTCGAAGGCGCGCTGTCAACCTACCGGACTGTCTAGCGGGCAAAGCCTCTTGCGGGAAGTCTTTCCGGGACTTTGCTTGGGCCCTGATCACACCATCTTTAGATCTCTGTCACACCCACCACCACAACAGCAGCTCAATGAAGCATTAAGTGGATGCCATGGAGACCATGCGAAAGCGGATGCGACCACACACCAGCACAGCACCACACATATGGGCCTAACGGAAAACCATAACCGAACAAGCAGCTAAACCTAGGCACCCAACGTCGCTTCCCCGCGACTCAACTTCCCCCTACGGTGTATAGAACCCCCCTCAACCATTAACCAAAAGTTGCTCATGTTGGCAAAGCAGCGGCTCCTGAAGGCATTACTCCCCCTCCCAGGCAGAACCCAGGCACTGGCTGTAGTGTTATGTTATGTTACAGAGTGGGAGGCTTCTGGGCCACTTTATCACATTGTCAATTCCACGATTTATCACCCTATAGCACCATCCACCACTACCGCACTGTACTACGCCATACGAACTGTAAGTCCAAGGGGGTGGATCCAGCCTTCAGGGATCCCTCCTCATCCATTCACCCGAACATCTGAAGAGACGGAGGGTTCGGCAATCGCCAACAATCCAGCGTGCGAATCTGGTCCATAACCTGTGAGCTCAACTCGACATCTCAGCAGCTAGCCATAATCTCGCGCTCCCGACTAATTCGGGGGTCTCCCCGGGAATCGAATCCCGGTCCTTAAACCGCTAATTGCAGTAGTGTCAACCCAGACCAGACCAGGCACTGTCTGTAATTATCAGGGCCAGGGAGCATGAGGGGTCCCTGCAAGGGGAAGCAGCCAGCCGCGGGCCAATTGTCTCATCGTCCGGCATTAGGCCCCTGCCCCCCAAGTAAGGGCCCCATTCAGCCAAGAGGTGCCCCGCGCGCGGGCCTCTGGCATTGTGGAGACATGGCTCCTGGGCGCTAGGGATGAGGGCAGTGTTTTTTTTAATCAGCCCCTCGCACAATTGAAACCGTTCGTACAAGACGCCCCAAAAGCCAGGAGCGAATTTACCGCGCGGATGCGCGCGTGCGATTCTCAAAATGCGCGCGTACAAGTGTATGTAATTTGTTTGGCGAAAGGCCGCGGTGTGCCAGCGCGTTGCGCGGGAGGGCATGTTGGCCACAGTCGCACGCGGCAAGCAGGCCGGAGGAATGGGTGGCTGTTTTGACGTAACTGAAAGCATACAACTTTGCTTGCAAGACTGGGCTCAAGAAATGGCCGCGAGAAGAGGAAGCGTCTGGTGAAGCGGCACTTTTCGAAATGGAAAGGCGCCTGCTTTTGATAGCGCAACGCCTATATAACATATCACAAAATTAAACAAAACATACACAAAATTAAACAAAAGAACAGATAAGTCGTTCAGAGCCGTGTAAGTAACATGGACGCCGCTGATGGCTTGGAATGCTGTGCATACGGCCGTGCCTGCGTTAGCCGTGTTGCAGCAGCTCCGGATGGACTTCAGCCAGCAGCAGGCTCATAAGCTTCATTTCGTGCTCGGCAAGCCTGCCACCGCGTACCGGATATGTTGGCGATGTTACAGAGACGCTGCACCTCGGTTTCTGTGCGCAATGCGTACGATGCTCGACCCGCCGACCGACCAAAACTACACGTGCCCAACTGAAGAAATTCCCGGTGGTTGTCCAGCAGCTTATGAGCCTGCTGCTGGCTGAAGTCCATCCGGAGCTGCTGCAACACGGCTAACGCAGGCACGGCCGTATGCACAGCAAAAAGCTGTTCCAAGCCATCAGCGGCGTCCATGTTACTTACACGGCTCTGAACGACTTATCTGTTCTTATGTTTAGGGTTAGGGGCTGCTTAACTAAGCATGCATGTGCGCCAGCAGATGAAGACGCGGCGCACTTCTGGGCGACGGGTGTCGGTCTGCGTTTACATGGTAAGGCGTTAACCAAGGGGTCGCATAGGTATAGTTATGGCCGCGGTAGTGGCGTAGGACCTCTCATCTGGTACGAGCCCACATCAGTCCGCCTCAATTCAGCGACTATGTACTCTTACATGACGCCACATCCTATCCTGGTGACTGCGGAAGGTGCGCTCATGATGTGCATTACAACTGCCAACCGTGTCCATATACAGTGTCTCAGGCTTCTCTGCAGTTGGTGGCAATACGGTTTGGGCTGTTCTTAAGGCACTGTTTGGGCTGTTCTTAAGGCACTGCCGACACCTTCGTCCAAGTCAATGCTCGTCATCTTGGTAACGGGGCACCGCTGCTTATGTGCTGCTACGCAGGCCAACTGCCAGTGCCGCTGTATGCACGCAGCGACATTAGCCGCTGTGCTGTCGTGCCGCTCGATGCCCACGCAATGCCACGCAATGCCGATACGGCCATCACCCTCATATATGACTACGGCATGGACGCCACCACCGTCCTGGCCGTGGACCAAGACTTCGCACACAGTGCTAACCACTTCGCACACTCGGTGCTAACCACCGCAGCGCAAGCGCGAGCATCGGACGCCCTCCTTCCTACGACGCCAATGAAACGTCTGGCCGCCAGCCCGGCCGCGCCCGATTTGTATGGGCCCCCCCTGCACGTGACTCTACACCATCACGTGCGCACCAACCGGAAGGGTGTACATCGGCAAATCCATGAATCCTCAACGGCACTACCAAGCTCATGCCTGCACCCCACCCCACCCCACCCACCTTCCGCATCTATATACTTTAGTACGCGGTCAGCTGCTTCACCAGGACCCCAGTGTTTAAGTAATATATTCCTCATAAGAGGAATAAAGAGGCCATTTTGGCCTTTGGAAAAAGGGAATGAATTGAGGCCGATCCGTACATTTTCATTCCAGCCAAAAACGTCCATTGCTGCCAGATTGCTCCGTAGTGTGCAGAACTTATTATTATCGATCATAGAATAGATATGAGGGGCCGTAAGAAGGTCAAGCCCGTGAGTCAACGCGGCATAGCAGAATGTATGACCGGTCCTTACATAGCCAAACACGCAAAAGGCAACGACTTGAACGCCGAACAAACACTTAAACAGCAAGATAAGCCCCACACTTACGGAATACATTACGGCGACCCTAGCAACTTTGTTACTTAGGTCGGAATAAGTTGAGACCCCCCCAAATGAAAAAAAATTACTGGATGAGGGAGGAGGGCGGGTCCGTTGAATCTCCGGATTCAAGCAGAGCAGCCAATCACTCGGGAGGCGTAACAGCTGCATCGATTGACCCAAACCGCTCTTGAGCGCCACAGGATGGATGAGTTTTTTCGTGGGAGGGGGCTTCGTTAATGATGAAGATAACTTTATTCTTCATACATTTGCCGCGTTACAACGCGCATATCATCTACAATCCCTTGACGTTGTTTGTGGTGGTCGTGTGCTGTAAATGTGGCCTTGATACTGTAACTCCTTGATCGGTATTGGGTCCTTGTCGTGGCCTTCCGTACATTCGTTTGTGGTGCAGCCAACTGGCGGGGCGGCTCACAGCCGACCGATTGAGATCTTTAAGTTCAGCGAGCTCTTTCGGTGGATGTGCCTAATTAGGCGCGCATCTTTGAGTTGGAAAGCCCCCGGGCCCATCTCTCTCTCTCTCACTCTCTCTCTCTCGCACACATACACACATACACACACACACAACACACACACATACACACACACAAGTCGGCAGGTCATGCCCCTTACTAACATGTGGAGGGACGGCGCGGAATCGCAACCCTGTGTGCCCGAGAGACGCCGTAAGGCGCCTACAGGGCTGTCACCAGAAAACAGAGAACATCGACGTTGCCCCTATCCACAGAAAACCGCCTTTCACAGCTCAAGCGAATAGAGTTTCTTTCATGCGTGCGGTGTCACGACTCCTCGCCCCCTCTTTTTTTACGCCCACAGCACGACCTTGGGCCAGGCAAGCGGCCTGGAGACGGCATGCCCCAGGATAAGCTGATCTTTGTTCCCGACGGCTACACGGCGAGTGCCAAATTGGGATTTTGCTTTCTCTTTTGTAAACTATTGTTCCTGTAGGAGAACGAAATGACTTCTGTCACAGTCCTTTTGGCTTTGGTCGTCATTGCTGGAAGTCGCCAAGCCTGCTGTGGAGTTCGCCACTGTTCGCCACAGCCTTGACTTGACGCGTAATGTGCCATCTTAAAGTTCGTTCGGCGAAGGCAGTCAGCCGGCAATTGCAATATGCGTCACATGACGGTTACAAATTCGCTTTTGATAAACGTCGACATAAAGATGGCAATTATAAGTCCTTAGATAATTAAAATGCCGGACCGCCGTGCTTGAGTGGTATGCAGAGAAGAACGTCTAGCTTACGGGTGGCGACGTCCACTTCGAAAGGATGATGTAAGAATGGTTTCGCAAATGTCTGAGGGTCTAATATGTATTGTTTTTTACATAACCTTGAATGTTTTGTTCGAAATTGTAAGCCTACTGCCTGCACGTCATACAATAAAAGCACTGCAAACGTACCACAGTTCGCAGTTTCAGACGGCGTACGGAAGTTAATCGAGTCCTTGTCAGGCGTCAGTAACTTTTTACGCAGTTACTTACGGAGAGTAAGCGCTTCATGCAAAAACTTGCAATGTTCTTTCCGATTGGGCGGGACCGGTATTTCGTTCCCTCCCGGTTTATCCTGAGCCAAGGCCGCGTACACTTGGGTGCCAACCCCGTCCGATCCTTTTAACTGCTGGGCTCGGCGGTGCTCTACTTTGAGACATATACTTTAGGCTATGCTGCGAATAGAAACCTCTGAGCTGAAAGCTCTACCATTACTTTCATCTAAAGCTACCGAGGAGTCGCAATCCCAAGATGAAGGCCGTATAGTGTTTGAAGTTCTCCAGAGGTCTCAGCGCGTCGGGCGAGAATGGATGGTCCAGCTCACATCTTGCCTGAAACCGCGTGTAAATGCACGAGACGATAGAGACTGCCCATACAAGTTAACTGCTGTTAAAGCTTCTGGTGAGGCTTTTAATCTGGACAGCGGCGATGCTGACACCGACTTGGAGGCGTTGCGGGAGTCCGACCCTGTCGCCGCATCTGCGTTCAACGCAGCGGCTAAGTAAGTTCACGCGTAACCTTCCGTTACAACCAAATGTTTTAGCCATAATACACATGTTCAAATGCATACCTCGCACGTATGGATGTTCCCAGGTGCGCTGTGGATGGGATTGCATTCCACCTACGGCTCCAAATCAGCCCCCGCATGCAGGCCACAAAGCTTGTTTCGCGTTTAATATCTCCTCAAAGGCGTGATGGACGTGAAGCGATGATTACGGTGGGTACTGGAGCCTATCCGGAGTGTTCGGAGTGTCGGCGTGTCTCCAGACCAGATCCGGATCCACGAGCGACCAGATCCAGCGATTTCAGACCGCTGCCCTGTGGCCAGCGGGCCAGCATAGGAGGGTGCCGATATGTCCTTAGCGAAGTCATACAGTCTCTCGGCTCAAAAGTGTTGCCTGCCTACGCGCATGCACGGCGTGCCATCCGTACCCGGGTAGCTGGGGTCACAAGCAATATGGCGTCCGTTTCACAAATCACGAAAACAACGGGCTCCTTACCTCCTTTCTCTTCAAGCATCGTAGCCTGATACATATACGCTGGAATGTGTATTTGGAGAAGTCAGAAAACTCGGCGCACCAAATGGTGACTCTATCCCCTTTAGGGGATGACTTATCGATCTATCTATTTTATCTGGGCGGCATGTAGTTTATCCTTTGCGGTGTGGTGTGGTGTGGTGTGGTGTGGTGTGGTGTGGTGTGGTGTGGTGTGGTGTGGTGTGGTGTGGTGTGATGGGATGAGGCCAAATACAGGTGAGCCCTAAAACGCACCTTTACCACAATCCCAACCGCTGCAGATTCAAAGCTGCCTATTGGAGCCGGGAGATGACGATATGGCCACAAGAGGCCGTGCAAAAGCCTCCAAACCCGCTGTACTAGTTCGTGGCGTTCTCGCTGCTGCAGTGCCGGTGCCGTCGGCCGCCGACAGCGCCGCCGCCACTGGCGCCCGTGACGGCGGCTCTGAAGCTGCGGCCAACGGCGAGGTCCAGCTCCCCGCATTCACCTCCCCCGTCAATGCAGTCTCAAGTTCGGAGCTCCTCGCGTCAGGCGGCGCCATTCTCCGGACAGTCAGCGCCCGTTACCGGACGTCTGGGCAATCTACGCATCAGCAGCCCTTGGTGTCGCCACCGCCGGCGGCGGCGTCTCCGCCGCCGCTGCAGCGACGGTTGCCCGTCGCCTCCGACAATGACCTTCCAGGCCTCCCCCTGGGTTCAGGCAGGAGCATATCGATTGGAAGCGAAACGGAGGCGGCAGTGAATGTGGGTGGCGAGGTCAGGCGTGGGGAGAATAAGGAGGACAGTTGCGACGACGGCGGGGGCGGGCGTGGTGGCAGCAGGCGCGCGAGCGTTGGTCGGGACGAGAGCTTGGGCTGGCTACCGCGAGCCGCTATGGACGCGGTTCCCTGCATAGCCACCGTCATGCGTCATCCCGGGTGGGTTCGTGTTCGTGTGGGCACGTAATGCTGAACGGTATGTGACACCGGGTGAATAAGGTGTAGGGCTTGTGATGGTGGGATGAAGTTGGCGATGGTGGGTCCAAGATGGGGGTGGTGGATGCATGATGGCGGGCGCTGGTGAATGCGTAATGGGTGATGAATGTTATGTCGTGTAATGTGTGAGGAGATGGTGTTACGTCGGAAACCTGCGCGGCCTACCAGCCTGCATATGCCTGCTTGCCTGTGCGTGTACTCCTTGCCTGGGGCCCAGTCGAGGATTCTTACCAAGCGGGTCCTCCTTACTCCGTACATCTGTCGTGCAGGGTCGTACTCTATCAAAACGCCCAATCGCAGGTGGGTGCCTGGTTAACTGGCTGGCTGGCTAGATATCTCGCGGACAGGAGCCTCATCGGGCTGCTAGTGCAGGGCCGCGAACGAACGCAGGGCCAGCGATGGGGAAGGAAAGGAAAGGGGGAAGGGAACGAAGCATGCGGCAGGTGGACGCGGGTACCCTTCCATATTCCATCCGCCAGCAAAGGCAGGGTCAGATGAATGTGACAAGGGTGATTGTGACGCAAGCCACATGCACACACACACACACACACCTCTTCTCTCTCTCTCTCTCACTCACTCACTCACTCACTCACTCACTCACTCACTCACTCACTCACTCACTCACTCACTCACTCACTCACTCACTCACTCACTCACTCACTCACTCACTCACTCACTCAAAACACACGTACCGCCTCGCAACCTACGCCCTGCACCGCCTCCGCCGCCTCCTCCATCGACTAAGTGGCGCCGCCTGCCCCTCGCCGTGCCGCCCACTCCATTCTGAATCGGGCCCGCCCTGCGGCCCAAATTTTCTTCCGCGCGTATCGCGGCCCGTATTACCGCGGTTCCCCCCGGCCTGGCGGTCTCCCATGCAGGCATATTTTGGCGACATTCGGGGGCTTGGTGCGGCAGTTGTCCTGTGGGCACTGCTAGGAGGCAACAGCAGCGGAGGCCCCAACACGGCCTGCAATGACGCGTCCGCATGGCGGCAGCAGGGGCCAGCGGCATCTGAGCCGCTGCTGGATCAGGCCCTCCAGGCGATGAACTGCGGTCAAGTGAGGCGCCTCCCCGACTAACGGCGCTCAGAGTTGCTGAGTGGGGTCTTTGGAGGGTTTGACTGCTTTGCCAGTTAGAGCGTCCCCGTCAACTGCCTGATGCACGAAGACGTGGCTCGTGGGTCGCATGGGCAAATGCATGCACCGCACAGTTATGCATTTGTTTGGCCTATGGCTCCTGTTGGGTTTCCATGTCGGCGGCAGCAGCAGAGAGCCCTCAGCTCCTGGTACTCGCCTGGAAACAAGAGACCGTCGAGCGGGCTTCTTTCTCACCCCGCTTGTGCACACAAGTTACAAGTTACAAGTTACAAGTCCCGCTTGTGCATGCATGCGCATACATGCAGTGCATACATGCAACCACCCCCTCGTGTTGTTATCTGCAGAGCTTTTCAGCCGTTGTGAGACTGCCGGGTCGTCTGGGTCCTCTGGACGAGCTGGCAGCGGGAGGGAGCGGGCCGGGAGGTGGCGGCGGCGGCGGCGGCGGCGGCGGCGGAGATGGGGTTGCAGGGTGCTGCTGGGCTGCTGCTGCGGCTGCGGCTGCGGCTGCGGCTGCTGGCATTAGTCACTACACGAGTGTCGGAGGCGAAAGCAGCCGGGGCCTGCCGTCAGGCGGGGATGGGAGCTGGAAGTTGTCCTCCCCTCTCATCGATCATGTCGACAGGTATTAGGGTGAGGGTGCCGGGATTTAGAGAGGCATCCAGGTTTTTGCATCTCTGCACTTGTCGGCGTGGCGGGGCTAAGACAAGAACTCCTAATATAGATCCCAACATGCTGATAAGGACAGCTTTACGTTTGTAAGGTGATCCATGTTTCATGTTCTGTGCTTGAAGGGGCCCTTATGGGCCGCGTACGCGGACATACTAGCAGTGTTACCTTTGGAAACGCCGGGAAGATGTCGGGATTTAATTTCCAAGAGGGAACTGATCCGGATGAATCCCGGACAATGGATCCAGGCACCTATGTGTGTTTTCAACGGTGCCGGTGCCGGTGCCGGTGCCGGTTTATGATCTTAGCTTTTTGGAGCTACAGCAGCGGCTGCGGCCGCCGCAGCAGGAGCAGCAGCGTTTCGGATCGAGAAGCCACGGCGCGTGCCTTTTCCAAACGAATTGGGTCCCCCTGCACCCCCGTGGCCGACCCGTCGGTCCGTCTGACTGCGCAGGTTACTCCTGGCCGCGCTAGAGCCGGCCGACGGCAGCGACGGGGCCGGTGGCAGCGGCGGTGGCGGTGGTGGTGGTAGTGGTGCTGCTGCTGGCAGCAACCGCAGCCTAGCACACCGCAGGTGCGGTCCCGTGCTGTCATATCCGGATAGCGGCATCTTCCGCACGCAGCAGGTACCACCTGAGCGGCGCATGGACCGCGGAGCAGACAGACCTGCTGCTGCAGTCAGTAACGTGTCCTCTGCCGCCGACGCTG